CAGCTACAGTTGCATCTGAATATTGAATGATGTACAAGTAAAACAGTTAGATAAAAATAAAATGGAGGCAGCACCAACACAATAAACACAAATATAACAGATAAAAATATAGAAAAAATTAAAAGGATTTTACTTTAGAGGTAAAGACTGTCTCAAATTGAGCCAGACTCCTGATGACTATATCAACTTTACAGTAAGATTTTATTAAAAATATCCAATAAATTGAAATTGAACATAGTTTTCAGAGTTTCATTTGTGGGGGAGGAGGTTTTCTCTAGATTAAGAATAAGCAATCCCTATGGAAATTTAATAAAACATTTTGTATTTGTTTTTACCATTTAAACAAACATTGGTAAAGGTTTTACTGTGTAAACTGTGTTGTACTGAATAAGATTCAACAGAATTTGTTTTCAGGAACATCTGTTAATTCTTCAGGTCATATCTTGATCCCTAGGGTTTATGAAGCCATTCTTCCTGTCACAGAAAAAGAAAATGAACTCAATAAAATGCTAATTTTGAGGAGGCCACATTTGAAATAAAAACTTGACACATAAAAAATACATGGTTAAATAGAACTTTTTCATTACTTATTACAGGATTTTCTGTTGCGATAACAAATTACACACCATTCTCAATAACTGATGAAGTAATATAGTGGTTAAGAGACTGGATTCAAAGTATCTTTGACAGCAATGGTTCCACATGTTTGAAGTATAGGAACTGTGTGATTTAAACAAAAGAGGAATATACATGAAACATAACAATTCCATGCTGTTTGGCCCCTGGTAGTCTGTCTGAGGCTTTTCTTTTCATCATCTTCCAATCTCAATTAACAGAAAAGTAACATCATAAGATGCAAAGAACTAAGGTTCAGCAAAATCTTCCAATGCAACCCTTCACTCTTCAGAGCTCCTACCTTTATGTGATTGAGGAACTAAGGTATTATTATGTATCTGGGGTATTAATTCTCTGCATCTATGTACTCCTAATTAAAAACCTATTCAGAAACAGTAAACACCTGAAAAACCTACATAGTGGCTAACACTAAAACAACTAACAACTACTAAGAGAGGCTGAACATT